GACGGCGCGCGCGACAGGCCTGCAGGAGGGCGCCGCAGAGAGGAAGTGGGGGTGGGGGCGCCGGGCCGGGCTGCCCTGGATGAAGACAAGATGTCAGGCGCCTGACACACAGGCCTGCGCAGTGGAGGCCTCGGGCACGGCCACAGGAGGGTAGAACGGCCAGTGGCTCCAGGATTGGGGGAGCAGCACGAGGGTGCAGAGAGGATTCCCCAGAGACAGTGGGGAGCAGAATGGGCAGGTTGAGGAAATCCACTGCTGGGGGGGTCGGTGTGCAGGAGAGGTCTGCGCGCCCTGTGGGTCACTCCCTGGCCAGTGCTGCACTTCAGCCTGGCCCTAGAGGAGCCAGAATTTTGCCCCAAGGAGAGGCGGTGAGGGAATCCTCTGGGATCTGGAGAGCCGCCCTCCCCTCCCTGCAGCCTCCCAGTAAGCACAGGGCCCTCCCTGGTGGTGCAGCCGCCTAAAGCACAGCCCTGAGGAGCCGCAGCGCCAGTTCCACCCCAAGACAGGGGGTGCCCCACGGGCGTAGCGGACCTCTCCTGTCTCCCCACTGCTCCCCACTCAGCCTCTGGTGAGTCCTGTCACCCCCTGCACCTCTGGCCAGTACCCCAGTTCTTCTATGCATAACTAAATAAATCTTTTAAAAAAGCACAAGCCCTGGGTGTGCAAAGTTCTCACAGCCTTGACCATGTGGTCAGAGATGATGCTGGGAGGGGGCGCAGCGAGCAGGCTCTGAAGCAGGGAGGGGGCGGGCTGCAGGGAACAGTGGGGTGGGCACGCCCCCTGACAGTACTGTGATCCTCCGGCCGGAGGGGTCACAAGCACAAGGGGCCTCCTCTTCCCTCATGCCCAGACCAGGCCAGGCCCCGGAAGGCCCCCGCTGCCCGGCACGCCCGAGGCCTGCTCCCCGGGGCAGGGCTGCGTCTAGCCCCCCGGGATGCTGACCTGGTCTCCTGGGGCCCAGAGGGGCTGATTGACTCTGGGGTCTTCATACCAATCCTGGCCCCCTGGTTGCTTGGTCCTCAGAGGGCACAACAGGCCCAGCTGGAAGCCAGTCTGGCGGTCACCCGGCAGCAGACCGCCGAGGCCGAGGGCCAGCTGCAGGAGCTGCAGCAGCGCAGCAGCCAGATCCAGGTGCGAGCGAGCGGGGCCGGGACCTGGGTCGGGGTGCGCTGCCTTGCACATCCCTCCTGGCAGCAGGGCCACGTGGGGGCAGGACGTGCCAGGGGCCCCGTGTCCCCCCGAGCCCAGTGGGCGGCCCTGACCCTGGCCCGTCTTGCCCTGGGCAGGGCCCTGATGACCGCAGGCTCCCCTGTGCCCACGCAGAGCTCAGCCCACACCATGGCCTCCACAGTCTCCGGCAAGGTCACCAGCCTGCTGCAGGCCCTGAAGAGGTGGGAGGCCCAGGTGCTGGAGGACATCGAGGTGGCCAAGACACAGGCCCTGGCGGGGGTGCAGGATGAGGAGCAGCGTGTGCGCAACCACCTGGAGGCCCTGGCTCACCACGACCGCAGGGCCCGCGACCTTCTGGAGCAGTCGGATGACCAGCTCCTCCTCCAGGTACCGGGCCGAGGCGGCAGGTCGCAGGGCCTGGTGTCCGCTTGCCTGGGCTGACTGTGCTGTCCCTGGGACTCAGGACCTGCAGCTCCCGGTACCCCCAGGGCCTCTGGGGCCACTGTCCTTCCTGCAGTGGGACGAAGACCTGCACGTGCGCAGCCTGAAGGACATGCTGAGCCAGCCGTGTGGCCGCCTCCTGCACGAGGGCATCCAGCCCGGGGCCCCCGCTGAGCCCGCCGACGTGCTCCCCACGAGTAAGCCTGGGCCCAGAGCCCTCCGGCCCAGCTGGCCCTCCCGGGGGCTGAGAGTGGGGTCAGCCCCACAGGTCCACCCCTCCCCTCACTCTCGCTGCTTTTCCCTTAGAGGCCCCTGGTCTGCCTGCGCCCGTCTGGAGCCCAGTCTGTCCACTGAGGAGGAAACTCTGGCAGAGTAAGGAGACCCAGCGGGGGATGCACACGCGTGTGCCCTCAACATGCGGACGTGGCGCACACGCTGAGGCCGTCCAGCCAGGATGAGTGCTGCCTGGCCGCGTGGCCGCCGCGGCCCGTGTGCGTCGGTCGGGCCTGTGTGTGCCTGTTGCCTCCTCCGCGCACAGAGGCGAGGGCTGGGCCCCAGGGAGAAGAGCGTGGGGAGGGAGGGGCCGGCTCAGCCGCCAGTCCGCCTAGCGGACAGTTCATCCCGACATGGCGCTGCCCCTCCGGGACAGGACGGGGGCCGGGGCGCCCTGTCACTCAGCTCGGCTCATGTCTCCCCGACAGATTATCGCAACCTGACCTTCGACCCAGACAGTGCCAACCGCCATTTCTGCCTGTCCCGACAGGCCCAGCAGGTGAAGCACTGCCGGAACCCCCAGGGCGCTGCCCGGCCGAGCAGCTTCGAGCTCTGGCAGGTGCAGTGTGTCCAGAGCTTCCACGCCGGGCGCCACTACTGGGAGGTGCAGATGTCCGACCACTCGGTGACGCTGGGAGTCGCCTACCCAGCCCTGCCCCGGCGCGAGCCGGGGACCCACACAGACAACATCGGCCGCGGGTCTGACTCCTGGGGACTCTGCGTCCAGGAGGACAGGGCCCAGGCCTGGCACGACGGGCGGGCCCAGCCCCTCCCTCAGGTGTCTGCCCGGCTCCTGGGCGTGGACCTGGATGTGACCTCGGGCTGCCTCACCTTCTACAGCCTGGAGCCCGAGACCCGGCCCCTGCACGCCTTCTACACCGCCTTCACGCAGCCCCTCTGCCCCGTCTTCTGGCTCCTCGAGGGCAGGGCCCTGACCCTCTGTCACCAGCCCGCGGCCACGCTCCCTCCAGAGCCCCCGGAAGAGGCCACACAGGAAGGTGTGGAACCTGGGGGGGCCGAGGGCCCGGGACAGACGCCGCCAAACACGGGCACCGAAGCGCTGCCCCGGCCCCCGGCCGCGAGGCCCGAGGCCACAGCGCCAGCAGCACCCGCCTCCGAGACGGGCGCCGCGCCGGGGGCACCTGGTGCTGCCCAAGACGGCGCAGAAGCCTGTGAGGCAAAGTGACTGTCCGGTCCGCGCCGTCCCCCCACACGCAGTGGGGCTCTGGAGGCCGGGGCGGGCCCGGGGAACAGGGCAGTGGCCCCCTCCTCATCGTAGTCTGTTTTCTTGTCATGTTTTTGAAAACTTTACCGTGTTGGCATCCTTTTTTTTATATCACACAGCCTTTTGATTGCAGAGAAGACCCTTTATACAATGCATTTTTTAATTTAATAAGCATTTTTCATTCACTAAAGTTTTCCCCAGAGTGATTAAACTGCCACAGTCGGTCAGATGAGCAGCCACGGGCCCCCCAGGGCGCGGCACTGTGAAGCTAGCAGAGGCCACTGCAGCATGAGGACAGTCCCCGGCCAGGGAGTGACCCCCAGGGCACAGCGGACCCCTCCTGTCGCCCCCCTGCCCCCCTCAGCAGTAGGTTTTGGTCAGTCTGCCTGTTCTCCCCACTCCGTCTCTGGAGAGTCCTCTGGACCCCAACCTCTGGCCACACCCCAGCTTTTGTATGCGTAAATAACTTTTTTTTAAAGGAGTCGCCATGAATGACATTCAAATTCTTTGATTCGGGCTACCAAAATATTGTAGGAAGAACTGTGTTTAAGCAGGGTACTTTGGCCATATTTCTGGCTCTGTACTCGGGCTACGTTACCTGAAGTGTAAGACCAAAAAATAAAATTGTCTGAAGTGGAATTCCTCAACTGGAAACAATGGACGATTGAAGATTTCTTTAACACAAAAGGCCGGATGAGGCAGTCTGCAGTGTCTGTCTAGCCCTCATACCCCAGTCTACCCTCAAGGCAAACATGCACCGGCCTCCCTGCAGCCTCCCTGCGGCACAGGGCTAAGCCCAGCCCCACGAAGTGCCCACAGCCGCTTCACCACCAGCGATCCCCGGCCAGGGAGGGACCGCAGGGTGCAGCAGACCCCGCCTGTCTTCCCGCTGCGCCCCTCAGCAGTGGACTTTGTTAATGTGCCTGTTCTGCTCCCCGCTCTCTCTGGCGAATCCTCTCACGGCCCCTGTACCCGGTTCTCTATGCATAAATAAATACTAAAAGCAAAAACACCACCAGTCATGAGGGGGCAGGGCCTGCCACTCCCTGCGAGTTGGGCAGCCCTGGGCGGCAGACGACCCCGTGCGGATTCCACCCGCTTCTGTAACGGCTTGCCAGGCCATGGGGCAGCTATTTAAGTGCTTCTTGATCTGGACAGTGGTCACAAGGTGTTTGCTGTCAGATTTTGGACACAGTATGTTTTGTGTGCTCCTGGTCACCATCTCGTTACATGCCTTATTTTAAAAAAGATTATTTGTGCATACAGAACTGGGGTACAGGTCAGAGGTGTGGGAGTGAGAGGAGTCACCAGAGACAGAGCGGGGAGCAGAACAGGCAGATCGACCAAGTACGCTGCCCTGCCGGGAGACAGGGGAGATCTGCTGCACCCTGGGGGTCACCTCCTGGCTGTTCTTTAACACCTGCGCCCCATGCGCCCCCAGGGAGGCCTGGGGCTGCTCAATGCCTCGTGACCTGGGGCAGCACATGCAACCTGGCAGCAGTCCATTTCCCACGTCTACCACACAGCCCCACTAGGGCGGCGGGTTGAGGAAGAGCAGGCGCGAACACGTCCCGCGGGGCTCAGGAGCCAGCTACCCTTCCCCTAAGTGGCTGTTTTATGGAATTCACACAGGACACCAGCAGCCTTAAAGCTAAGACTCTGGAAGTAAAGCTACGAACCGAAATTGCACCCCCTGACAAGTCACTTCCCGGTGCTTCCTCCTGGGCTAGCAGAAGTCCCCACAGGCTGCGGGGCGGGGAGCAGAGGCAGGCTGGGGTTCATCCTGGAGCACCCCAACCCAACATACCACCCTGGCCCTTGGGAAGCAGGCGGGTGTGAGCAGGCCCAGGCGGCCTCGCTGCCCGCCACGCAGCCGAGGGGCACTGATCCTGCGCCTGCAACTGTTCCTGGGTCTTGGCAAACAAGGAGCTGTCATGACCGAGCGCTTCTTGCGGAAACCAACGTATGGAACTCATTACCAGCCTGCCGCCAGACGGCACACCCAAGCCCGCGCCCTTCTCCCCTGGCCCAGGAGCTCATCCCCACCCTTCGTCCTGCACGCTGGCTTCTCAGCAGCCCGAGTCCAGCTTCGTGCGACGCCCCCGAACTCATCAGTCACTCAACAGTGGGTCACAGCTCTCCTTCAGTATCCAACAGGGGCTGCCCTGGTGGCCTAGGGGTGCAGTCTCAGTGATATCACCTCCAGGACATGCGCCAGGGAGGGACCCCCAGGGCACAGCAGACCTCTCCTGCCTCCCCGCTGCTCCTCTCAGCAGAATATTTCAGTCCATCTGCCTGTTCTGCTCCCCACTCTGTCTCTGGTGAATCCTCCCACGGCACCAGCACTTCTGGCCTGTACCCCAATTGTATGCTTTTTTTTTTTTTTTTAAGAAAATCCAAGTCCCCCATGGGGTAAATAGAGTCCCTAAGGGCCAGAACCGGGTGTCAGCATTTCTCTTCGTGCAGCCAGATTCCTGGGACTTTGCTGGAGGGGAGGAAGGCTCTGGGGCAAAGATGCGACCAGACCAGGTGGGCTGCTGCTGCTGTGCAGCCCGAGGCCTGGCCTCGGGGCGGAGCAGGCATGGGCCCTCCTGGCCTTCCTCCAGCGCGCCCCCTCGTTCTCGGCCCTGAGTCCTCTCTTCACAACCCCTCCCCTCCCTCTAGGCCCTCCCAGTCCAGAGGGCGGGCCCGTGGCGCTGCAGGGCTGTCTGAGTCGGGGACTGGCTGGAGGGACCCTTGGCCTCGGTCCCGGGAGGCGGCGCCAGGCGCGAACGCCCCCGGTCCCTCCCAGGCGGGAGCAGAACAGGCGGTGCCCGCGCCGTCCGCGGAGCTATGGACTGCAGCGGACCCTTCAGCTGCCCCATCTGCCTGGAGCCGCTCCGGGAGCCGGTGACCCTGCCCTGCGGCCACAATTTCTGCCTGGCCTGCCTGGGCGCGCTCTGGCCGCACCTGGGCGCGGGCGGCGCGGGCGC